AAAAAGACTCTGTGATTGCTGGTTCATCCACTTTCACATACAAGAGTCAACTCGCTAAGCTATCAGGTCCTATCCATAGCTTAGCAGAGGTTTCTAACTAGCTGACTGGTTCATCCACAGTTAGTAAAAGAACCCCTCGAATTTTTTTTGGCTTCCAACAGCCGAAAAAGACTCTGTGATTGCTGGTTCATCCACTTTCACATACAAGAGTCAACTCGCTAAGCTATCAGGTCCTATCCATAGCTTAGCAGAGGTTTCTAACTAGCTGACTGGTTCATCCACAGTTAGTAAAAGAACTCCTCGAATTTTTTTTGGCTTCCAACAGCCAAAAAAGACTGTGATTGCTGGTTCATCCACTTTCACATACAAGAGTCACCTTATTAAGCTGTCAGGTCCAATCCACAGCTTAGTAAAGAGGTCAAACTAGCTGCCTGGTCAATCCACAGTTAGCAGACGACCCACCCAAGCTCCTTGACGGTTGATCAACAACAGTCAAATCAAAAGCTTGCTGCTAGCTATCAGGTCAATCCATAGCTCAGCAAAAGAAGCTACTTCAAGCTTTTTACCTGCATTCAGTCCATGCGAACGAGACAAACTATGTCCGAATTGGCTGGATTCAAGACGCCCATCTCAATGGCATGCTCTGCAGTCAATAGCCTCGAGAGCAGAATCCTGAGCATAGACAGAGCATTTGAATTCCCCAACACAGTAACGGAATGCAATGTCTTCATAGCTGACAAAATGGCGGAAATCGACGAAATACAGATCTCTCTCACGTGTCTGCTAGAAAACCTGGAGGTCCGCATGCAAAATGCCATGACTTTCATTGGCGCCAAGAAGGACCAATCAGAGAGAGAAAAGCTGATGAATGATCTAGATTCCTTCTTAACAACCGAAGCTCATCGTGTACAACTAGAAGCAATACACTGGACAAGCAAGTTGAAATATCGGATGAGGGAACTCGAGAAACAGTCAAGCCTGATAGACAATCTCCCTTCTTCAACCGCCCAGACTCCACCACAAGATACGGACACAGCTAGTACTCTCTCCGCCAGACAATACAGCGAGAACAAAGTGCGCCTACCGACACTTGAAGTTCCAACATTCAACGGAAATTACAAAGACTACCCAACATTCTGGACGATTTACAATTCACTGATTCACAGCAATCCACAGCTCAGTGACATTGACAAATTCCTCTTCCTGAGGCAAGCACTGAAAGGATCGGCGGCATCAATGCTCGGAAACATGCCAGTAGTAGGAGAAAACTACGAAAAAGCCATAACGCTTCTCGACAAACGATTCAACAAATCTGGATGCATAGCGGACTTGCTGATCACTGAGCTCGAGAAATTACCCCGAGCAAGAGAAGACGCTACCAGTTGCCGAAGGACCCTTACGGACGTGAACGAAAAACTCACCCACATTGAGTGCGCTGGAGTTTCACTGGATAACGGCCGAATGTGGAGAAGACTGATCCTGTCGAAATTCCCAGAGTCTATGAGTAAAGAGGTACTCAGGAAAGAGCAGAAGGATGGAAAGTCTCTGTTAACCGATGAGATCCTAGAAATTCTGGAAAACGCTGTTGCACTTCACGAAACACTTGCGCTCACAACGGGAACATTACACGATCGTATGACTCTGAGCCAAACCAGTCGGTCAAATTTCAAGGATATGCGTACACGAACACCAAGATTTGAGCCTGCTAGGAATATTGGCCAGAAAAACGGATCGCAAATTCCTTGCCTATGTGGAAACTCGTCCCACAGGCTTCCGCAATGTCCAACTTTGAAAACTCCGGAAATGCGTCGAACTGAAGCCATCAAGAGAAGAGTGTGCTGGAAATGCTTTGACAGCAGTCATCAATCAAGTAATTGCAAGAATCTAGGACCTTGTCCCAGGTGCAACAAGGACCACCATTCAGCTCTATGTACTGTTGATCGATTCTCTATGAATCCTACCTCGTCGACAACGACACAGTCACGGTTTAACAACATCAAACGACCATCTGGAGGGAGAACAAAGACATCACAGAATGCCGAAGTCATTTCACCCAATTTGGATATGAGAAATGAGTCAGATGGATTACAATATGTACTGATGACAGCTACAGCTCTGGCCTTCAACTTCGATACGATGGATTACGAATCTGTTACCATATTCTTCGACACAGGCGCTCAAAAAAGCTTCATCACTACTGAGAAAAGCCTAAATCTTAAACTCCCACTGATTAAGACAGCCAGCTTCACCGTAAGCGGCTTTGGAGGAAAAGCTGAGACATTTAACTCTGACGAAGTATCAATTACGCTCAGAAATGTCATAGACGGACGGGCAATAAAGGACATCTCAATACACACGAAGACTCCTTTAACTTCAGCTATAAGTACAGCGAAGCTGAGCGCCGACGATAGAAGTTTTATTCGAAAGGAACAGATCAAAGTAGCACAGCCCACACTTGAAGACAAGGTCATCACCAGGGTTGAGCAAGAGATCAGGCACAAGTCTTTCCAAAACGACCCCCCCCCCCCAGTGAAAGCCCCTAAACGACCCCTCTGCTTCACCTCCAGGACCTCAAGCTGTGATATTCGAAGAGATCAGCCGTTTTTGGGAGGTTCTTGTTTTTTGGAGGTCTGTAGGTCGACTTTCTGCGATTGCACAGCACACGCAACTTGACGGCAAGTTTTGGATTTTGGATAGCCCTACTTTTAGAGCTATAATTCCCACAGGAGTGTATTGTTTGGCTCCAAACTTGCAGTATTGCAAGAAGAGGCTTTGAGTTCAATACTCATAGCAGAAATGGAGCGATTTTTAGATTTTGAAAACAAGTTAATCGGGTCAGGCGCAACCCCTCAAAAGCTCAGGCGGCCTGACCTTTTATGGGGTTGCGCCTGACCCGATTAACTTTATCATTGAAGAAGCTTTTTTATTCAAGTTTTATGTGAATCGCTAGCACAACCCTCGAAGATTCCACAGTAAGTGTTTGGACTTGATTCGACTTGTTTCGGCCTTGTGGTAATCCGTGGAGTTGAAGCAGTCATGGAGAAAAACGCGCCGGTCGGAATTTTGGCATTATTTCTTACTCCACTATTTGCAAGCGATACAAAGCGCGATTTTTAGCCTAGACTAGTAGGGAACAATACTTTGTTACGAGTACAAAAAAACTGACTTTTCTCACTTTTGAAAACAAGTTAATCATGTTTGAAAATCACGCTTTTTAGTCGTTGAGAAACACTAGATAATGCAGTAAATAATGGTTTGTAGGGCTCATAGAGGTAATTTGACGTGCTCGGAAATGATACCCATTTCACACAGCAAGCTTTCTTGATGAATTTATAATATGTCAAGGTAGACGATGAAGATTTGAGTTTTGGCCGCAACTTCGATTGTGGAATCAATCAGTATGCTGTTTAAGACCGTTCTTTACTTCAGTACTGGTGAGGTCGCGATATCCACTAAACTAGCGCTATTCTTCTTCACCTCAATCGTAGTATCTCCTCAATCGAACGAATTCGATACCTAATCACGACCCCCCCCCCCTCTGTCTTACCCCAGTACGACCCCCAAGTCGGGCGCGCCTGACCCCACGCTCAACCCTGGTCATCACTCCCGACATTCTCGTAGGCCAAGATCTAATCGACGACTTCATACTCAGAGATCGTCGTTGCGTAACTCTGCCATCAGGCTTGATACTCACACCGACAGTATTCGGTTATGCAATCTCAGGAAAGAGTTCAATCCAAGGCATTAAAGCTTCGACAAATACGAATACTATACTCGTTGCGACTCCTATAGTCAACACTGCAAAGGAAGAATACAAGCAGGACATTAAGAACTTGTACGAACTAGAATCCCTCGGTATCAAAGTGGACAAGGACAGTGACGAAGAAGCAGTTCTGCAGTTTATGAACAACTACAGAAGCACAATTTCAATTGAAAATGGTAGAATCACAGCAGGATTCCCATTTCTGGACAACGTCACTCAGTTGAAGAGCAACTTTAACGTGGCAGTCAAACGCCTTCAAGCCCTAATTCGGATACTTCAAAACGACTCGGAAAAAACGAGCCTGTATAACGAAGCACTACAAGATTACCGGCATCAAGGAATCATCGAAGAAGTTCACGAGCATAGTACAGCTGGCGTAACCACCTTTTATTTGCCTCACCGTCATGTTTGGACGCCGGGGAAATCCACACAACTCCGCGTCGTCTTCGACGCGTCCTCACATGCGAAAGGAGAACTAAGCTTGAATGATGTCATACATCAAGGGTACTCGCTGACTTCCTGCATCTTCGACATCCTACTGAAGTTCCGAACTTACGATTATACGATGGTTGCGGATATCCAGAAAGCGTTCCTGCAGATCCAATTACCTATTGAACACAGAGACGCGACAAGATTCTTGTGGATGAAGGACACATCTAAGCCTCCCATCGGTAGTAATATCAGATACTACAGATTCTGCCGAGTACCGTTCGGAATCAATGCTGGACCGGCAATACTGAATCAAGCGCTGCTCAAACATCTTGAGTCATTCACCAACAACACATTTCGAGAGATATCAGATATGCTGTATGTCGACAACGTCATAGTTGAAGGAAAGAACAACGAAGAACTCCTCAAGAAGTATCATGAATCTAAGGAAGTGTTTAATAAAGTTGGAATGAACCTTCGAGACTACCTCTCCAACAGTGCACAAGTCAATTACAAGATTCCAACGCATGATCGTGCTACTTCAACTAATATAAAAGTCTTGGGCTTGCACTGGTACAGCAACGAGGATCAAATAGGTCTAGTATGCGCTACAAAACCGTATACAAAAACGACCAAACGATACGTCCTCAGCCAAATCAATGGACTCTGCTTCGATCCCTTAGGACTACTCACACCCTTGCTTACCACGGCAAAAACGTTCCTTCAAGACTTACACAAGAAGAAACTGGCGTGGAACGATCCATTGTCAAAGGAAGACTGCGATACCTGGGATGCAATCAAGAAAAATATGGTCCACTTTTCCATCCAACTACCTCGACGAGTAACGCAGCAAGAAGGATGCACATCCCGCACACTTTCAATGTTCGTCGACAGCTCGAAAAGAGTCTATGTTTGCGTTGGTTACATTACAACGGATACACAAGCTGGAGAGCGCTATACAAGACTATACTGCGCAAAGTCAAAAGTGGCTCCCATCGGAACAACTCAAACAATACCAAAGCTCGAACTGCTAGCCATATTTATCGGAATGAATTTGCTGGAATACATTGTAACCAAGAGCGGACTGAAGTTCGATAAAATCAACCTGTTCAGCGACTCTACCATAGCCCTCGCCTGGATCCACTCCAAAAAGCGACTTCCTTCTCTTGTTACCAACTTGACACAGAAGATACAGCTGACTAGAGAACGTCTTGAACAATACCGGCATGTCCAAATTTACCATGTTCCCACAGAAGAAAATGTTGCTGATCATGCAACCCGCGGTCTTTCACAAGCAGAAGCCAGCGATCACGTATGGTTCAAAGGACCTCGATGGCTTAATGAGCGGGAGCAACATTGGCCTGTTCGTCAGGTAGAACAGCTAAGTCAAGCAGAAGAAGAAGACTCTCTCGCAATAATTGCCACTATGGTAACACCTTTCACCACCCTGACAAGGCAACCAAGAATCTGGCCTACTGAAGCAGTCAGTAGCTATGACAAGCTCAAAAGGATTGTTGCCTATTCCTTACGATTTGTACGCAAAATCAGCAAAGGCAAACTTTATCAACTTGACGAGCACTGCGAAACGTTCGGCGGCATTCCGAATGCCCAAGAGATGATAATCGCAGAACGCCACCTACTTCGAGAAGAGCAACAGCAGTCTGATCTGCAATCGTTCATAAACAGCTGCAAAAACAAGACCATCAAGGAAGACCTACATGGAATTACTAGAAAATTTGGTCGCCTACAAAACTCGGATTTGAACTACGACACCATCAATCCAATCTACCTTCCCCGCAAAGGACTACTGAATGCTAGAATTGCGGCGCAGCTACATAAAGACTTGTTTCATTGCGGCGTCAACCAGCTAGTCAACACTCTCCGCAAGAAATTCTGGATCCCAGCAGACAAAACTCTCTGCAAAAAGATTGTCCGAAATTGCGTCATCTGTCAACGCTATAATGCGGTCCCTTACAAATACCCACACATGGGACCACTACCTTCCGAAAGGGTTACACGGTCGCCGCCTTTCAGCTTCACTGGAGTGGATTTCATGGGACCAATCACCATCAAAGATGCAAGTGATGAGGACGGAAAACGATATGTCGCCCTATTTACCTGCTTGGTGACACGAATGATACACCTGGAAGTAGCGAAAGACTTGTCAGCAAGAAACTTCCTGCTAGTTTTCAAGCGCTTCACGGCAAGAAGAGGTGTTCCGCTGAGGATAATAAGCGACAACGGCACCAACTTTCGCCTGACGGAAACCATCCTTCGGCGCGATGATCCGCCCTCATGCTCACCAGTATCACTCTTTCTTGCCAAACACAACATTCAATGGAATTTCATTCCACCAGCTTCTCCATGGATGGGAGGAGCATGGGAAAGAATGGTCGGGACAGTCAAAAGGGCCTTGCTCAAAACGATAGGAAGACGAAAAATCTCAGAAGAAATTTTTTCCACAGTCCTTTGCGAGATTGAAGCTGCAGTAAATTCACGACCATTAACGACAATCGGAGAAGCTGCTGACAACAATGAAGTACTTCGCCCAATCGACTTCGTGTACAAAAACATTCGACATGGCATCGAAGTTATACGACAAGACGAGCAACATCAGGAAGACCCTCCATACCAACCTACTCCGGAAATTTCCACGCAATTGGACGCAAAGAAGGCCATTTCTGATGCAGAGACACTTACCAACAAGTTCTGGGACAAATGGAAAACAGAGTATCTCTTGGAACTGCGCGAACGCCACGTACTTTATGGAAGCAATTACAAGTCATCGAAAAATAATCCGTGCGTTGGCGACATTGTGCTTATCGATGATGATCTGAAGACATCCAGAGACCACTGGCCAATGGGTGTGATCGAGGACTTAGTCAAAAGCAAGGATGGAGAAGTACGAAGCGCCGTACTTAAAACCGGAACTGGGAGATGCGTACAGCGTCCCATCAATCGCCTCATTCCACTGGAAATTCGTGCCACAATGGATTCGAACGCAATGACAAGCACTTCACACGACAATGAGGAACCTCAGAGTAGCATACAAGCTCTACCACAACGCAAACCTCTTGAAAGAAAGGCTAAAAAACCCATCAATTATAACGAAAACGTGGTATTACCGAAACGTCGTCCATGGAATGCGCTCAGCATTTTACTAGCCTTGACAGCATGCAGCATTATACATTCTGCACAAGGACAAGTGCTGAACTGCACGAACACTGGATTCATACTCAACTTATCGTCGATTCCGGACGTAAACAGCAGGAGTGAAGTATGTGTCAATCGCATTCATTGTCAGAGCATACACACGGATCAGCAACCCATACAAAGATATCTACCGCCACATCAGCTAACTAACCCATATTCCGTGAAATGGCGTGCTATCATGAATACCACACTATACGAAGAGGAAGTGATGTGCCCAGAGCAATCAGTGTGCAATTCCATACATTGCACATTCTGTCCCCTTCTACTCGGCAACCCACGCTGTTTTCCGAAAACAACCATCGCAGTAATAGCTACGGTCATTTACATCATTACACTACTCACCACCATCTCAACATATCTGGTGGCACGTGCAGCAGTCATGCTCAAACAAAGATGCCGTTCGCTCAAAGACTCGAAGCATACAACGATGGATTCCACGACAACAGAACAAGCCGAAAATGTGGAAATGCATCCGAATACCGATACGCAAGCACGTCCAAGGAAAACTTCCGGCGGTCATACGACAAGATCCAAGCTCATCTTCTCGCTTTCAATACTGGCTGTAACAAGTTGCTGTCAGCACACCCATGTTCTCAACACCAAGGATCTGATTTGCACCGACTTTCTTGGAGATTCAAGATGTAGGAATGTCGAGGAGCATACCTTCGCAATGAGCAGCTTCAAACGCGAAGTTTGCATGAAGATCATGTACAAAGGAGAACTGATCGCGACATTACATATACAACTCGACAGCATAAGATTTGAGTGCATACCTGTCACTCACTTCTTCACCAGGAACGCTGAGCTTATAACAGTCTCTTCCAAACGATGCGCTCAAGCCGGCAGTTGCACGCAACAAAGATGTCGCACAATCGCACAAAACTCGTTCGTTCCGGAATTAAACGGCTCATACCACCTTCCTGGAGTGACACGATGCCAAGAATCGTGTGGAGGAATTGGTTGTGGGTGCCTCTTACCAATGCCAGGCTGTCTTTTTTCCCGTACCTATTCAAAACCGAAGGACGACCTCATCTACAAAGTCTTTTCCTGTCCTGTGTGGAATGAAAAAGCACGAATACGAGCTCGAGTAACCTTCGTTACGGGCAAGGAAGTGGTGACAAACATGGACATATTACCGCAAGAAACAGTGAGCATGGACAAGATGAACTTTACCCTTGACTTCATTACGACTCCCACAATTTCCATTCTGGATCGGAAGTTCGTCCAGGTGTACAACCGTACCAACCCGCAGACCATGATATCCCCGTCCGACGACACGTTCGCAGTCAAGTGCAGCACATCAGAGGTCGCAAAAAATTTGACAAAGTGCCGTGTCATGGATACGTGCAAATGCACCTCAAGATCCACACTCGCTGTTTGCTACTGCGCCAATGTCAACATCACAGAAAGGATGGATTCCTTGGATACTATGCTACCCCTGCACAGCTCAGAATTTTCTCTGGAAGCCGACGAAAATTCAGTAACAGTTGTAAGCCACACCTCCATCGCAGAAGTTTCCTTATCAACTGAAGCCAGATGGAAAACTGCTACGGTTATCATACCCACCAAATGCGAGATCCACGCCTCCGAAGCGAAAGGCTGCTACAACTGCCTCCAAGGAGCAAGACTGGTCTTCACATGCACTTCCAAAATCAGGACAATTGCGGAAGTTGCCTGCACTGATCATCACTACACGATAGATTGCGGACCGAAAGCAACTAATACGACCGTACTAATCAGTTCCAATACCGCCAACTATGCTGCACAATGTAGCACCCAGTGCGGATCACAAAAACATGATTTGCACATCATCGAATCGCTTTATTACCACTCCATATGGAAAGACGATTTGGAACACGCTAGCATCGAAACGGCCAATTACGTGGACTTAATCAACATTCCTGACCTCAGCAACATAGCTCAGGTTATGTCTCACTGGTGGACCACTTCGCTTACAGCAGCAGCTGTAGTAGCATTGTCAATAGCTGCCACACTGATCTGTGGACCTGCTCTGTTTCGCAAATGTATGTTCTTCTAAAACATAACATAATGCAGCACACTCACATGTACATAATATCTGCACTCTCGCTAGTCCCCTTAGGCATCATAGCCTGGTAGTCCGCCTAATTGCAAGCGGTGATGTACAAAGCAATAATTCTGTCCCGCGACATTTTGCCAGGAAGAATGTCGAACCACTCCAAAGACCTCACCGGCAAATTTACGATGCCTAGGTCGAACCACATCTTCGTATAAAAAGGCAACACTTCCATGCACACCCAACTTCTACTGCTCACAACAACTATGGCTACTCCAATCCACGTTTCCGACGAAGAGGATCTTCTGGACTTATCAATTGGCATGGAAATGGATCAGCTTGCTGCTCACAAAATGACTTCTCTACGCTCGAGGCCGCCCATCGCGAAGAAGCAACGACCGTCCAAAAACGCAAGACGGCTGCAATCGACCCCCAAGAAGAGAAGAGCTGAAACCACGTCCCCGAATCCTACCGTTGACCAGGAAGAGAATGGAGAGCCCCAGGTGAAAATTACCAAGCTCGACATTGTTCTCATTCCAGACAGAAGTGCGGCGCTCTTTCCAAAGCCCAAGGTGACCCTGCGTCCCTTGGTGCTATCGCAAGAACATCGGGGCTATGTCTCCAGCAAAGATGTGATGGACATGTTCCACGTCATCCTGGATACTCAGAAGAGCAATGAACACCGTCTAAATAGGATCGAGGACAAGCTCCGCGTTTTGACCCAACAGATGGACGGCATCGCAAACAAGATCGAAATAGTCGAGGAGAAGCAGCGTCCGCTTCCAACGATGCCAACACCGCCCAATGGATGTCCTCCCGTGGAAACTCCACAGTATTGTGATGTCTGCTACTTCGCGGGGCATCATGCATCACAATGCCGTGGCAAGAAACGTATGCACCCCGATCGTGTACGCAAGGTATACAAGAAAAAGGGCATCTGCAAAAGATGCCACTGCATTCATGCAAATCCCGCCCAGTAGATCGATTTTGTATTCCATACTTGATTTGTTGTTGGTTGTTGCATTAATGTATTAAGATTCTGAAAAGATTTTTTTTCATGTGGTACCTTTTTTGTTTACACTCATCCCATTATCGTACTGAAAAAAAAATTCTTTTTTTTTTCATGTGCTATTTTATTACCTTGCTTCTATTTTTCTAATAAAATTTTGTTCGCTAGTTCCATTGTTGATACATTTCATACACTTCTCCATTCTACAGTAGAAATATATATCGTGCATCATGCACTCCTTCCGGCCCGCCCCCAGTGTCGTTAATAATATTTGTTAACGACTGTCTTCGATTATGTGAATGTATCCATTCTGTCATGGACAAGTTGTAGATTGTCCATGCACCTGTTTAGCCGCCGGGTCACCCTCATGGCCCTTGATAATGCACTCGGCGGCGCCTACTTTCAAATAGGCGAAACTTCTACTGCATTGATAGCATTCTTTGCCAGAAGTTGGCATCCAGGCTATACACGCCCAATTTGGCTGTATAAAAGAGCCTGGATACCAAGTTCTGGAGTCGTCACTATCGCCCAGTCGCTGTTCGTCACTATTCCCTGTGAATAAACTCGTTGTTGCCACCCAACTTGGTCTTTACCAAACTAAGTGTACAGTCATCTTGGGTTTACGAAGAATTACCAATGAAGTTTACGAATTGGAACTACCCTTTTGTAGAATTACAAAAATTCCCAACAGAAAGCAAAGATAATACTCCCATAAAGATATTCAGAGGCGTTTGACACGATAGCGATAAGGAAAGTAGCGTGATCTAATGAGATAAAGATGTTGCAGAACATAGATGAGAACAAGAAGAATCAGTACAGTATTAATGAAATTGAAGGGATTCGAGAAGAAACTTAGTGAGTTTCGCAATAAGTTAAGAGCATAATTAGACAAGGTTTTCAAAAACGATATGTCTCTTGTGATTTCCTTCGTAAACGTTTTTGATACGGTATCTCCATTGATTGTTTCGTCTTCGATGTATTGTAAGTGGCCTTTGATCTTGATCATTTGTGTATTTCCTGGGCAGATTACCTTGCAACTCATGGAGATGTCAGATGTATTGAAGTGAAAGCGTAATTTGTTTACATATCCTTTCGTAGTGCATTGTGCTACTTGGTATTGTTCTGAGCAGGCAATATTTGCCAAAGCAGTTCCAGATTTGCTCTTGCATAGGAAAGTGATTTCGGCTCCGGTCATGCAACTATAGCATCCCTCAGCGTCACTGGCAGTAGTCTCACAAGAGGTGTTAGTTTGTCTTGATGCTATTTTTAGGTTTTCAGCAACAACATGAAGTTGCAAAGCTGAGCCAACTCCAGATTTTGCATGTAGTGTGCCTTGTTCTGAATAGATCGCAAAGTGTTTTGATATTTGAGGGAGGGGTGAACTCCGCATTAGTCTTTCCATGTTGCCAGGGCTGCATACGCAAGTGGCTCTTTTAAGGGAGACTGAGCAGGAACAAGATTTGGCTGAGAAAACGCAGTTGAACTTCTTTGCTTTCCTGTATGATGCGCACTGAAGTTGTCCAGCTCCACGAGGATTGAGCTGTCCTTTGTGGGCAGGTTGAATAATCGATACTTTTCCGTTTCGTTCCATAAAGGTAGATGAAAGGACTGGCAACTGCGGCACTGTGGTGCTTATGAGACTAAACTTCAGGTTCCTCCATTTGATGATCTGACCTGGGCGAAATAGTAACCTGGTAGAATACATACTGTTACCTTGCTTTAAAGTTATCTCGGCGTTCACTGTCATTTCCCAACTGGGACACTTGAACACTTTGTAAATAGTAGAGCTTGTTGGTCTTGCATATACTCGATAGAACAAGCAGCTTGGTTGGCACATGAAACAGCCGTCACAGGAGATGCATCCGCAGCTCGCGGCGCAGAAGGTGTATCCAGGACTTCGGTTTGCTAGATCAGAAAGCTCTGATAGCTTGGCCGTAGGTGAGGTATTTTCACATGCGTTCTCGATGCAGCTTCCTGCTAAGTAGCATCGATGGATGGATTCGGAAACAAGTTGGTGATTTCTGGTATAGAATTGAATGTCTTTCTGACATTTGAAATCGATGCCGTTGACTTTGATTGATATGAGTCCGATCGGCTTGTTGTGATGATCCTTGAGAAGAAGACATGATTCTTGTTGCAGTGGCTGAAGAGTGACTACAGTGGCTTCGTTAAAGGTACATGTTTCGTTTTCTCCATCTTTGAAGCAGATATTTTCATTAGCAGTAATAGAAGTGATCTCTGAGCAACCGAGTCCATGTGAAATTTTCAGACACAACACAGTAAGGCACGAAAATATGTTTCGTTTGTAAGATCTTCTCCTACGATTAGTGTATTTGCGTATTCTTTGCCGGTTGCTACAGAGGGCAAGTAATCTATCCACGAAGCAAACACGGTAAAGAATGATTTTGGTTATTCGAAGCAAAAGGCACACGATCCTGATCGTTATGTAAATCCATAGAGGAGTGATCAAGATGAGTAGTGTAATCAGAGTTATTTGTAAAAAGGTCCAACACTGAGTGTTGTACACCTCCCAGCAGAGGATGCATTGCATGGTTTCGCAGACTGGCTGTGCCGGGCAAAATAATTGTAAGTTTTCCACAAGCTTTCCTCGTGACCATGCTCTTATGGTGACTTTGTAATCGTACATCGTGAATGTATTGGGAAATGGTATGTGAAATGAAGCGAGATTTTTTCTGAAAATGCAGTACTGGTCGATGCAGATTTCTATGACTTCCTGTTCATTTGCTTGAGATAAAGTTATGCCTCCTTTAGAACATGAGGCAAGCACATTCGTGCGAGTGTTTTCAAGAGATTTGGTAGTATCATGTTTTATGGACAGTTTTGATGGGTTTGAGGGAAACCCATAGTAGGCCTTTGTGATGGGGCCCCAAGCTTTTATGGGGATTGCATTCTTTTTAGATGCACCGTTGAGAAGCAACAGAGCTATCGGGTTGTCATACATGCAGAAGAGGCTTGCTGGTTCTTGGCATTTGTGTCTTTTGCAGAACCACGATGTGCCGGTGATGTCGCTACCAGGAAGTCGCTTCCATCCCTTGCGATCGATGCATAGGAGGTCTCCTTGAGTGACGTAATCCTTGAGAGTTATTGTTAAGTTTTCTACCAAAAGCAAGGCGTCGTCGAATAGTTGAACCTGATTGAACGTTCCCAATTTTTTAACTGAATCACACCTTTCGTCCTGCTCAAATGAGCAAACAAAGTTTGGACGATAATGGCGAAGACTTGCAGGTATTTTTCGTATTTCTGACTTGGTGGTGATTGATCCGTTATGAAAAGAGCAAGAAGACGCCCACTGAGGGCATTTGCAACTGTCTCCGCAGAGAGAAGATTTGCTGTAAGGTACCTTTGAAAAAAGTATTTCGAAACGAATATGTCCCATAGGGCAGGAAATGGGGTAATAACAAAATGCATTTTTGTGTTCGGCAACTGCGATTCCTCTGGCTTTGCAGTTAGTGGCGTACAGAATTGTTTTAGGTGTGTTGAGTTCGCTTGGACACTTGATTGAAGCCGTAGACGCAGTTCCAATAGTCATCAGGCAAAGCAATGTTGTCAGAGTAGCGTGTGCTTGAGCTCGAGAGCGGGTAATCATTGGATGGCGTGATGGTTGTGGAGGTTTTTTGGTGGAAGATGGTCCGTTAGTTTCGACGTTTCGATCGTTGATCTTCTGTGGTATCTCTAGTTTATGGATCAGAGAGTTAGGACGAGTAATTATTCTGTTTGAAGGAAGCTTTATCTGAGCAGAGCGTTGATAGTTATCTTGTGATTCGATGACTCTACCCATTTTCCACTGACCACGCTCAAGGGTTGGATCATGGATCAAGACGATGTCTCCGCTCTTAGGTGTGTCCTTTTCATGTGATCTGGGAACTGAATGCTCATTCTTGAACTGTTCGCGCATAGCGGTAAGATATTCCATGTTCCATCTTGTCCAAAATGTTGAGATTAGCTTGGAGGTTCGATCCCAATCAGCAAGTAA